CCCCCCCCCCCCCACCCCAACCCTTCCCCCCTCAAGGTGGTCTAGGACTCTCAACCGACTTCTAAACCAGAGCCGAAGAAGTTATAAAGATATATATGCTTTATCTGATGGCATTTTGGGACACTGCGTCTTCCAAACTTCTGTCAGTTCTGTCAGTATTCCCTGCTAATTTAGCTCGATCTCATTAAAATATCAGCTGAAAAACAACGGGTGGCACAACTGCTAGCCCGCGTAATTTTGTTCAGCTACTCGCGAAATACTAAAGAAACTCTAATTATATTGAACATTAAAATTTCTAAATTTTGACTCATCAATGAGCGGATCGACTTAGGAGGATTTTATTGAGCTCGAACGATATTAAAATTCTAACCAATTGAACATCCTGTGTTCTCCGTGACTTTTCTTGATGGAAAATTTGATGGGCGACCTTGGCAGAGCTGAAAAACAAATGTTATCGTTACTTCATCCGGCACAGCAGTAACACTTTAGGACAACTAATGTCAGCTGCCAGTTTACGTCGATCTTAAACATATGAAAAATTAAAAGCAATTTGTGGCTCAAAGCTGATAGGTCACTTACTGTTATTATCCCAAATAGGCGGTTGATATGCCTATCATTAAACACATCGTGAAAATTGCCATGTCGTATGGGTAACAGATAAATTAAGACGTTATCAAGTGAACGAACCAAAATAACTGTACGTGAGTGTAAGAGCGGAAAAAGAAACTGAACGTCAATGTCTGAATACTTGAACACAAAGATAAATGGAACACAGCCATCGAGCTGCCTCAGCAATCCTACAGCAGACAAAATCGGAAAAACCTTTGCTTACTTCCTGATTTTTCTTGTCTCGCTGGCTGGGAACACCGTCATCGGAATAATTGTCTACAAGACGAAAACCGTGAGAAAACCCATCAACTTTTTCATCGTAAACATGGCCATGTCCGATTTATTGTATCCAATTTCGGTGATCCCGTGGCTAATACAAACCCTCTATACAGACTTCTGGTTGATCGGTGGTCCTCTTGGCCAGGTCTTGTGTAAGCTGATTAACTTCTTTTCAGATGTCTCCACTGCTGTGTCTATTCAGAGCCTGGTTCTGATAGCAGTGGATCGATTTGGAGCTGTGGTATATCCCCTCCGTTCCCCACTCATCAGATCAAAGCTGTGCCCGTTCATCATTCTCGTCACTTGGATCGTCGCGATGGCTATCTACTCCCCATATCTCTTCGCCTTCAAACTTGTTGCGTACCCAGAAGGGTTGTTGTGTGAGCTGCATTGGAATGAAGCCTTTGGAGAGTCTTCGTCGTTAAAGAATTACAATGTGTCATTTCTGGTTATATTCCTTTATTCCCCTTTAGTGTTGATAGCCACACTTTACATTATCATCTATTTAAAGCTCAAATCCCAAAAGATTCCAGGCGAGCAATCAGTCAACGCTGGACAACAACGCCAGCAAAGGGAACGAAATGTGTTAAATATGGCCATTGCTATTGTGTTAGGGTTTGCAGTATGCTGGCTGCCCTACTCAATCGCCATATTACTCTTTCAGTTTGCATCGGACTTCAGGCCTTATGGCTTCAGATGCTTTTTCTCTGTCGCCATTTTTATGACTCGCGTAAATTGTGCCGTTAATCCTTGCATCTGTTTTATTTTCAGTAGAAATTATCGTACCGGGCTCAAGACTCTCTTTAGATAAATGACCTGAAACTTGAAGAACCCTATTTTAAGATTGAATTTGTCTAACTGCCACAGGATAGGTCGGCAGAAGTCGAAAAATCGTTTGTTTCGATATAAATAGTTTCTTTGAGCTCTAAGCTCTTTAAATTATATTCGAGAAAATCGAGTAACATGATTTTCGCCCCGATCGGCCGCCAAAATGGCCAATCGCAAAGACTGAAAATTAGTCTTGAACTTAATTTGCGTTCGCGTGTAAAGAAGAACCAAAACTTATCGATACTTTTTCTTGAAAGTCAAAGTATTCAGTATTAGAAACAGATTATAGCTAGACCTGAGCGCCATTCCAGGATAAAAACACAAATGTGTAAAAAAGGCCTTTGTTTACTCAGGTGATATTCCCAATTTCGGAATTAAAGTCAGAGATATTTTCTGACATGTGCCATAACTCCAAATTCCTTGAAATTTCGCTTTCGGAACACTTTCATGTTGTTGTAAAACATGTATCAAAATCAGCTTGGGTTATTCTTCGAGTGGTTTTTGAGGCACGGCTAAAACAAACCCTGGTCTTAACTAAAACATCACGAAAAGTTAGCAATAGCACATGTCGAAAAATCAGTCTGAATTTTTTTCCCAAATTGCGATCGGCCATTTTGGTGGCCATGGGGAGTCTATGGGGCGAAAATCGTTTTTCTAGATTTTCTCGAATTTAAAGCGCTTCGAGCTAAAAAAAAATGTATATCTAGATCACATTTCATATCCACCAAAGCGCTATTTGCCGCCAAAATTAAATTTTACCCAATTTTGGCTGACATTTGCTCGTAAAACTGCTTTGAATCAGATTCAATGTACACTACAGCTTCAGTCATTTAAGAAAACTTCGCAGAACTGTTTTAAACCTTGTTTAGCAGAGAGTTTACAATCCATGATTCTGCAGTATTCTGAAAACTCCATTTTTGTAATTTTCTTATGTTAATGAGAAGTTATAGGTCGTCCTAAGCCTTGTAAATAATATTTATTCATCAATACTGCTGTATTCATTTGACTCAATGTACGCTTGATAAACTTCAAAGAACGTTTTCTAATCGTTTTTTTTTTTTGATAATTGCTTTGCCATCATTAAGCACTTAATGACTGGTCCCGCGGGAAACAGTGAGTTTTGTTTCCCGTAGACCCTCAACATTGAGGTCGAGGGGATACAAACCTGTTTCCCGCGGGTCTAGTAATTGAGTGTGTTGTTATACCTCTTAACTCAAAACTAGGGAAATAAACTGCGCAAAAATCGTTTGCTTGGCGCCAGCTCCCACACAAATTTGCCGCGGTTTTAGGGAGCACGACCTGATCACGTGCGAGTCGAAAGTTCAAGTTGTTGTTAGTGAGTTTTGTTCGCCCTAGGGAGTTAGTGAGTTGTAACCCATGACACATGACACGTTCTCCTCCAATCGGGAAGCGTATTTGAGTTCGGAGGTATAACAATTGTAGTTATTTCGACTTTTGTTATTTTCTTAAATTCATTAGAAATGTTCATCCATTCCAAAATCGTGGAAATAATTAACACTTAATGACTGGTCCCGAGAGGAACGGTGAATTTTGTTTCCCGAGAATCTCGATGTTTTCCGAGACGAAGTTGAGGGAAACATTGAGATTCAAGGGACAAAATTCACTGTTCCCCAAGTTTCATTGTTAGATGTCACGTGACCATGAACTCAGTAGCCAATGAATGGGCGCGCTCTAGCGAGAAAAATGCTGGCTAAATAATATTCATTTCAATACAGCTATTTATTTGATTCAATGTACGCTTGATAAACTTGACGTTGCCGTTGTCGATGAATTGCTATTAAATAGAGAGCTTTCAGCAAACCACGACGGTAACGACGAGAATGTCACCAAACAAAGTTTAATGAGAAGAACAGTGGCTGTGCACGTGCGTTATAAATCTTTGTACATTCCCTGGCCGTCCTTTGCAAAACAACGTGAAATGACTAAGTTCTGCGTATTTTGGAGAACGCGAACGACGACGGAATGGAAGGCTGGCGCTACATGTTTAGCTTGATTACGTTCTAAGACTAATAGTCGCCGTCGTCATTGCTTAAGCTCTCTATTCAACGTGTCGCCGACAGGATTCGAACCCATGACCTCCCAGGCCAGTGAAAGTAATCGCGCGAAACAGCTTTGATGTGCTGAGAAGTCTGCGACTGAATTTTGTACAAAGGTGCCGGTGTGGCAAGAACAGGTGGCACTGTTGCCTATAAGCAACCTCTCGTGTAGTCTACGCAACAAGCGTTTCAGTACGAATAGCTTTCTCTGCATTCTGACGTGCAAAAATTGCCAGACTTCCCACGTGCAGAAAGAATGCAGGAAGAATTCTCGTTCGTAAGAGAGTCTCAAGCAACTCAGCAACGTGCTTCACTGTAGTGAGCATCGAATGATAAAAAATCTGTTGTACCGTTTCACAGCGATCCCCTGGCAACGAATATCGTTTTGGTTTAAGCGAGGCATTCTTCGTGCAAATAGTTTCAGAGAGACACAACATAACAAGGTTTTGCTAATATCTCGTCTGTCAAAAGAGTCCTTTAATAACTGAAATATAAAGTTGTTAAAAAAGGCAGTATTTACACACTAAAGAGGGTAGAATGTAGAAGGTTATGTCACACAGAGAGAATACAGAGGAAGCTAGTTTTGCTTCTCTGAATTAAAGCAAGGCGGACACCGTTTTGCTCGCTATGTAATCCCTCCTCCTTAAAGGTTGCGTGACAAGCCAAAGAAGCGACCTGCCAACGTAGACGATCTCTACCAAGATTATTTGCTAGTTTCTACAGTGCAAATTCGGTCTTTCTATGGAGATTTGTTCAGACAAGGTGACAGCTCTTATGATGTTGCAATGTTGTCCGATTGGTGTTGAAAAATTACTAAAATACTAAGAGCAAGACAGAAAAAATGTCACGTCAGCTTGTCGCCGTGACGATTCGTTGTTACTAAGCAACCTGTCTGAGGAGCTCATTGCAGTACTGTACCAACACACATAATCCGTTTCAGGCTTGTTAATCAAAATGTCGGAGTTGTTATCCTGTTATTCTAAGAGAACTTCAGGCTGATGAATACATATAGATCACATTGGATAGTTGAACATGACATCTTGACGCGCCAACTCTAACAACATAGGATCGTCGAAGAATTTGTTGATGCTGACATCCTCGCTCAGACCCTGAAGAAAATAAATAAATAAATAAAATATTAAACAAATCACACTTTTTAGAGAGGAATCCACTTCGGCTTTAGCTAGTTTTCATCTATCCTGGTCGAAATGGAATCTGGAGTGCTGGTTGTTGTGGAGCAGAGCAGGAAAAAAAAATTGAACAGTGGCCCAGTACATTTCAGTTTTCAGTTGCTCAAACTAAAATATTACTGGTCCAATAGGCGCACAATGTTCATGCCTTATCAACTACATCATTTACTGGGTACTGTCTATGGATTTTAAATTAATCCTTGCTTTCAACTCATTGTTTTGCTCATCTTGCTGTCTTAAGAGAGAAAAACCCTCGGGGCAACGCGAGAACCAACAACAAACTCAACCCACATATGGCACCGGGAGAAAAGAAGAAGTATAGTGGGATTTATGGCTCCCCCAGAAATCAAGTCAGTTATTTTGCTGCTATTAATTTACCCAGTATTGTAACTGGTTAAAATAGTGCTAAGTAATGGCAAAGTAGATGTTAATCAAACAATCAAGGCAACACTCACCTTCCTTCTCCTTGTTTTGATCATGAATTCTCTGGCAAGATGCGTGGCCGGCTGTGGTTCTAATGGACGAATGTTGATGCTTTTGTCCAGCGGATCACCAGGGACAATCTGGTAGACAAACATGAAGTATTAAATGTTGTCGAGTACAATATTACGAAACGCGGTCTTCAGGCGATTGTCGCAATTTTCTTCGGTCTGAGGATCTTTCGGATAAAAGTCAGACGTAAGCCAGTCTCATTTTTCCACTTTCCTTGGATTTTTTCCCCTTTTTACCAGGGTTAAGCGCTGTCTGCGTACTGCAGTAGTGCTTGCTAATGGGCAGTTATTTTACAGTTGGTGTGAAGACCTTTTGATTGCTAACGAAAGTGAAGGAAATTCAGTTTACCTGCCAGTGATGAAACACCGAGAGACAGAAAGCTTGTCCTTGAGTGTGTGTTCTCAGATCAGTTTCAAATCCAAACGAGTCGATAGCGGGAATGAAAGCTTTGACGGTGTACAGCGGTGAGCCTGGAACTGGCGCATCTTGAGTGACATGACCTCTGAACGAGACGAAACATACACAGTGGTTATTACAGCAAGACTATATGAACCCCACACTTCGCTCTGACCAAGGGCTTACGCTCAAAATGTCAGCTTCAAAATCTCGCCGACGTTTATTTTTCCTTTAGCAACTTCAATGGCCAATTGTCTCTGTGAAACACGCCTGCAAGGAATCATGGTAGTTGTATTCATCAAAACAAATATCCAGTCCAAGATGATGACTACAACTACCATGATTCCCTGCAGGCGTGTTTCGTAGAGGAAATTGACCACTAAGTCCTGCATTGTAAGTAGTGTTCTTTGTGTGGAAATAAAACCAAATAAAAATTCTGTTAAAAAAATTTCAAACTTCAAGTTGATAAATAGTTATAGGTACCCAGATTGACATAACTGATTACCGCCTTCGTGTCATGTGACCCTGAACAAGGTTCTTGAAATAAACAAAGCAGCTAGTGGCCACTAAGAACTATACGCTGATTACTTCAGACACCCTAGGTTTCTCAATAAAAAAAAGCAATCGGGTCGCTGTAAAAACGGCATCATGCTGAGTGCTTGTTCTTTCTAACTTCAAACAAAACACCCCAAACACACCTTCGGCGAGCAAGCACCGTGTAGACCGAGGACACGCAATCAGCGGGGGCCTGGACCTCCACGAAGAAATACGGCTCCATCAGACGGGGAGTGGCCTGGAAAAGAAAAAAAAAAACAAACATCTCGCTGTTAGGCTGCAAAAGCTTTTCTGTAATAGATCAGAGGACGACAATAAAGCCAAAGTTTCAAATGCAAAATCTAAGAAAACAAGTAAAAGCTAGTCGAAAACAACTCTGAACAAAATGTACATGTCAAAATGTACACGTTCCTAGGGCCAGTCGGAGGTTCAACTCGTCATTTTTAATAAATCTTCGTCGAGCATCGGCAACTTTCCGAATCCAACCATCCGATCAAAACAAGCGAACACTCGCGAATTCCCCGAAAACTGTTACGTCAGCATGACGTAAAATGACTACGTCACTGTTACTTAGCAACCTCCCTTCAAAGGAGACAAGATTCCAGTTGGAAAAGATAGTTTTCCTCACGACAGAAGGTAGCTTACCATCAGAAAAGCTGAGTATGCCACTCGTCGGGCTGTTGGAATGATTTGTCCTCCCCCTCTGTGGATTGGCTCTCCAGCAATCACCGCATCCAAGATCTTGAACTTCACATTTCTTATGGCTGTAAGTATTAAATGATCACAAAATCAACATCTAGTACATGGCTAAATCAATTAATAAATCAATCTCGAAAGAATGTGTTTGACCACATTCCAAACACCAAGCTAAGAGAGTTTTAAACATGACACATAGCGGCGTATTTTTGACGAACTTCGAGGTGTTTGAAAATGTGGTCAAACACTGTCTTTAGTAGACTTTACTTTTAGAGGACCCCCCTGCAGCTGAAAAGAACCTCTAGGTGATTGGAGGCCTCCTCTTAAAATATTAATTTATTATACGTTATTATTATAGTATATCTTGAGGGTTTAAAATATCTCCTCGATCAAACCTAAAACTAAGGAAAAAACGGAGAAATTTTTCGGTCTTTCTTTCTCACTTGTTGTCTCCTATTTTCTTCGCGATCTGGAGGCCTGTAACAAGTTATTATGCACAGGCATATCCTGAATTTAAAGCTTCACCAGAACTCCCATGACCTCAGTCCTAAATCGTGTTTTCTTTACCAAGAGAAGTAGCAGTAGTAGTTATTGCAGTACTCACGTTCGTCACAAAGCGGTCCCTCTCTCGTCGCCCATTGGAAACCTTGAATAATGGAGTCTTTGACAGTGTTAAGCAAACTCTTGTCCACCTAGAAACAAAAGGTAAACAAATGCACGTTACATTCATTTACCAACACATAAATCAGGAACTTTAACCGGACAGAACCCAAGACCCAGAGTATCCTTGATCTGTACACAGGACACAGAGTACACTGATAGCCTCTTGTGAGGGATTTTGTACACTTGCCGAGATTTTGTGAAAAACTGTTTACTAACATAAAATACTCCTAGGCGGCAGCGTTCACACTAGACCGTACGCCGGAAAAATTTCGAAAAGCAGCTTTATTTCTACGGTTAGGCCTCCTTGCGGAGGTCTTCGAAAACGCTCTTCAAACCGGAAGAATTTGAAAACGCTGGCTTTCCGTTTTCGTGTGGACGGAAAACATTTTGAAATCGGAGTTTTTCGAAAACGAGGGCGTCACGATAATAATGCGATTTCACTGACCGTGTTCTCCTCAAACACAAATCCAAAATGACCGCTGATTGTTGCGTTTTTAAATTCCTCCGGCGTAGTGTGAACAGAAACATTTGATACGTTTTCAGAGTGAAACTTCCGTTTTCAAATCGCCACTATTTCTTTCAGCGTAAAATTGAAGAATCGGCTGTGGACACTCAATACAAAAATACGGGAGGGCGTTAAGTTCACAGGGTTTTTATTGAAAGGGACACTTACTAAGACAACATCCCTTGGTNGACGAGAATGTCACCAAACAAAGTTTAATGAGAAGAACAGTGGCTGTGCACGTGCGTTATAAATCTTTGTACATTCCCTGGCCGTCCTTTGCAAAACAACGTGAAATGACTAAGTTCTGCGTATTTTGGAGAACGCGAACGACGACGGAATGGAAGGCTGGCGCTACATGTTTAGCTTGATTACGTTCTAAGACTAATAGTCGCCGTCGTCATTGCTTAAGCTCTCTATTCAACGTGTCGCCGACAGGATTCGAACCCATGACCTCCCAGGCCAGTGAAAGTAATCGCGCGAAACAGCTTTGATGTGCTGAGAAGTCTGCGACTGAATTTTGTACAAAGGTGCCGGTGTGGCAAGAACAGGTGGCACTGTTGCCTATAAGCAACCTCTCGTGTAGTCTACGCAACAAGCGTTTCAGTACGAATAGCTTTCTCTGCATTCTGACGTGCAAAAATTGCCAGACTTCCCACGTGCAGAAAGAATGCAGGAAGAATTCTCGTTCGTAAGAGAGTCTCAAGCAACTCAGCAACGTGCTTCACTGTAGTGAGCATCGAATGATAAAAAATCTGTTGTACCGTTTCACAGCGATCCCCTGGCAACGAATATCGTTTTGGTTTAAGCGAGGCATTCTTCGTGCAAATAGTTTCAGAGAGACACAACATAACAAGGTTTTGCTAATATCTCGTCTGTCAAAAGAGTCCTTTAATAACTGAAATATAAAGTTGTTAAAAAAGGCAGTATTTACACACTAAAGAGGGTAGAATGTAGAAGGTTATGTCACACAGAGAGAATACAGAGGAAGCTAGTTTTGCTTCTCTGAATTAAAGCAAGGCGGACACCGTTTTGCTCGCTATGTAATCCCTCCTCCTTAAAGGTTGCGTGACAAGCCAAAGAAGCGACCTGCCAACGTAGACGATCTCTACCAAGATTATTTGCTAGTTTCTACAGTGCAAATTCGGTCTTTCTATGGAGATTTGTTCAGACAAGGTGACAGCTCTTATGATGTTGCAATGTTGTCCGATTGGTGTTGAAAAATTACTAAAATACTAAGAGCAAGACAGAAAAAATGTCACGTCAGCTTGTCGCCGTGACGATTCGTTGTTACTAAGCAACCTGTCTGAGGAGCTCATTGCAGTACTGTACCAACACACATAATCCGTTTCAGGCTTGTTAATCAAAATGTCGGAGTTGTTATCCTGTTATTCTAAGAGAACTTCAGGCTGATGAATACATATAGATCACATTGGATAGTTGAACATGACATCTTGACGCGCCAACTCTAACAACATAGGATCGTCGAAGAATTTGTTGATGCTGACATCCTCGCTCAGACCCTGAAGAAAATAAATAAATAAATAAAATATTAAACAAATCACACTTTTTAGAGAGGAATCCACTTCGGCTTTAGCTAGTTTTCATCTATCCTGGTCGAAATGGAATCTGGAGTGCTGGTTGTTGTGGAGCAGAGCAGGAAAAAAAAATTGAACAGTGGCCCAGTACATTTCAGTTTTCAGTTGCTCAAACTAAAATATTACTGGTCCAATAGGCGCACAATGTTCATGCCTTATCAACTACATCATTTACTGGGTACTGTCTATGGATTTTAAATTAATCCTTGCTTTCAACTCATTGTTTTGCTCATCTTGCTGTCTTAAGAGAGAAAAACCCTCGGGGCAACGCGAGAACCAACAACAAACTCAACCCACATATGGCACCGGGAGAAAAGAAGAAGTATAGTGGGATTTATGGCTCCCCCAGAAATCAAGTCAGTTATTTTGCTGCTATTAATTTACCCAGTATTGTAACTGGTTAAAATAGTGCTAAGTAATGGCAAAGTAGATGTTAATCAAACAATCAAGGCAACACTCACCTTCCTTCTCCTTGTTTTGATCATGAATTCTCTGGCAAGATGCGTGGCCGGCTGTGGTTCTAATGGACGAATGTTGATGCTTTTGTCCAGCGGATCACCAGGGACAATCTGGTAGACAAACATGAAGTATTAAATGTTGTCGAGTACAATATTACGAAACGCGGTCTTCAGGCGATTGTCGCAATTTTCTTCGGTCTGAGGATCTTTCGGATAAAAGTCAGACGTAAGCCAGTCTCATTTTTCCACTTTCCTTGGATTTTTTCCCCTTTTTACCAGGGTTAAGCGCTGTCTGCGTACTGCAGTAGTGCTTGCTAATGGGCAGTTATTTTACAGTTGGTGTGAAGACCTTTTGATTGCTAACGAAAGTGAAGGAAATTCAGTTTACCTGCCAGTGATGAAACACCGAGAGACAGAAAGCTTGTCCTTGAGTGTGTGTTCTCAGATCAGTTTCAAATCCAAACGAGTCGATAGCGGGAATGAAAGCTTTGACGGTGTACAGCGGTGAGCCTGGAACTGGCGCATCTTGAGTGACATGACCTCTGAACGAGACGAAACATACACAGTGGTTATTACAGCAAGACTATATGAACCCCACACTTCGCTCTGACCAAGGGCTTACGCTCAAAATGTCAGCTTCAAAATCTCGCCGACGTTTATTTTTCCTTTAGCAACTTCAATGGCCAATTGTCTCTGTGAAACACGCCTGCAAGGAATCATGGTAGTTGTATTCATCAAAACAAATATCCAGTCCAAGATGATGACTACAACTACCATGATTCCCTGCAGGCGTGTTTCGTAGAGGAAATTGACCACTAAGTCCTGCATTGTAAGTAGTGTTCTTTGTGTGGAAATAAAACCAAATAAAAATTCTGTTAAAAAAATTTCAAACTTCAAGTTGATAAATAGTTATAGGTACCCAGATTGACATAACTGATTACCGCCTTCGTGTCATGTGACCCTGAACAAGGTTCTTGAAATAAACAAAGCAGCTAGTGGCCACTAAGAACTATACGCTGATTACTTCAGACACCCTAGGTTTCTCAATAAAAAAAAGCAATCGGGTCGCTGTAAAAACGGCATCATGCTGAGTGCTTGTTCTTTCTAACTTCAAACAAAACACCCCAAACACACCTTCGGCGAGCAAGCACCGTGTAGACCGAGGACACGCAATCAGCGGGGGCCTGGACCTCCACGAAGAAATACGGCTCCATCAGACGGGGAGTGGCCTGGAAAAGAAAAAAAAAAACAAACATCTCGCTGTTAGGCTGCAAAAGCTTTTCTGTAATAGATCAGAGGACGACAATAAAGCCAAAGTTTCAAATGCAAAATCTAAGAAAACAAGTAAAAGCTAGTCGAAAACAACTCTGAACAAAATGTACATGTCAAAATGTACACGTTCCTAGGGCCAGTCGGAGGTTCAACTCGTCATTTTTAATAAATCTTCGTCGAGCATCGGCAACTTTCCGAATCCAACCATCCGATCAAAACAAGCGAACACTCGCGAATTCCCCGAAAACTGTTACGTCAGCATGACGTAAAATGACTACGTCACTGTTACTTAGCAACCTCCCTTCAAAGGAGACAAGATTCCAGTTGGAAAAGATAGTTTTCCTCACGACAGAAGGTAGCTTACCATCAGAAAAGCTGAGTATGCCACTCGTCGGGCTGTTGGAATGATTTGTCCTCCCCCTCTGTGGATTGGCTCTCCAGCAATCACCGCATCCAAGATCTTGAACTTCACATTTCTTATGGCTGTAAGTATTAAATGATCACAAAATCAACATCTAGTACATGGCTAAATCAATTAATAAATCAATCTCGAAAGAATGTGTTTGACCACATTCCAAACACCAAGCTAAGAGAGTTTTAAACATGACACATAGCGGCGTATTTTTGACGAACTTCGAGGTGTTTGAAAATGTGGTCAAACACTGTCTTTAGTAGACTTTACTTTTAGAGGACCCCCCTGCAGCTGAAAAGAACCTCTAGGTGATTGGAGGCCTCCTCTTAAAATATTAATTTATTATACGTTATTATTATAGTATATCTTGAGGGTTTAAAATATCTCCTCGATCAAACCTAAAACTAAGGAAAAAACGGAGAAATTTTTCGGTCTTTCTTTCTCACTTGTTGTCTCCTATTTTCTTCGCGATCTGGAGGCCTGTAACAAGTTATTATGCACAGGCATATCCTGAATTTAAAGCTTCACCAGAACTCCCATGACCTCAGTCCTAAATCGTGTTTTCTTTACCAAGAGAAGTAGCAGTAGTAGTTATTGCAGTACTCACGTTCGTCACAAAGCGGTCCCTCTCTCGTCGCCCATTGGAAACCTTGAATAATGGAGTCTTTGACAGTGTTAAGCAAACTCTTGTCCACCTAGAAACAAAAGGTAAACAAATGCACGTTACATTCATTTACCAACACATAAATCAGGAACTTTAACCGGACAGAACCCAAGACCCAGAGTATCCTTGATCTGTACACAGGACACAGAGTACACTGATAGCCTCTTGTGAGGGATTTTGTACACTTGCCGAGATTTTGTGAAAAACTGTTTACTAACATAAAATACTCCTAGGCGGCAGCGTTCACACTAGACCGTACGCCGGAAAAATTTCGAAAAGCAGCTTTATTTCTACGGTTAGGCCTCCTTGCGGAGGTCTTCGAAAACGCTCTTCAAACCGGAAGAATTTGAAAACGCTGGCTTTCCGTTTTCGTGTGGACGGAAAACATTTTGAAATCGGAGTTTTTCGAAAACGAGGGCGTCACGATAATAATGCGATTTCACTGACCGTGTTCTCCTCAAACACAAATCCAAAATGACCGCTGATTGTTGCGTTTTTAAATTCCTCCGGCGTAGTGTGAACAGAAACATTTGATACGTTTTCAGAGTGAAACTTCCGTTTTCAAATCGCCACTATTTCTTTCAGCGTTAAATTGAAGAATCGGCTGTGGACACTCAATACAAAAATACGGGAGGGCGTTAAGTTCAGAGGGTTTTTATTGAAAGGGACACTTACTAAGACAACATCCCTTGGTCGAAAACTATAAATAAAAAAATACATTTTTGAGTTCAATAAAGTAATCAGTTTTCATTTTACCTCTGACGGCAGCGTATCATCCACCAGAATATTAGGTCCTGAGTTATCAGGTCCAAAGGCCCAGATTGAGCGTGCAGCCAGCAAATCCCAGTCGTATTTGGTTTGAAAGAATTCTCCCAGCTTCTTTCTGTGTTATTAAAAAAAAAATGTTCACGTTCAGCAAGAAACCATCACTGACTAAATTGACACTTGTAGGCCTCAACCACGTCGCTCTTGGGGTCAAAACCGTTTTGTTTACCATGCCATCAATGATTGGAACACTTGAACAGATGCAATTGGCCACGTTTGATATACCAATATTCTAATATGGCTCCGAGGCTTTCGGGTCAAAATGGTAAGTTTATTTTGTCTCTCAGTTCCCAAAAGAGACTTATATACAAAGAAAACAACACGAAATATAGAAGTTTGTACTGAAAGCCTCGGAGCCATGTTGGAATATCGATACATTGAACGTAGCCTCTTATTGACTAAACTTACTTGTTCCAAGTAATCAACACTTTTTCATTCTCTATGTCCTCAGCTAAGCCTTTCTCCAAAGGTTCAGCTATCATGGTGACCTTGTTCCTAGAGACAGAAAAATAAGATTAAAAGAACATTTGACAAGAGTAACGAGGGGCATGTGAAAAATGAAAACGCAAAAGATGTCTCACTTCTTATTTGGTGTTTCTGCGAAGCATTTTAAGGATGAAGTCTCCACCACTGTTTCACAGAACGCCACAACAGGATCAGCGACCTTGATATCTGCAAAACAAACATAAATACTGAAAGTTACTGATGGCGGTCTAAATCACCAAATCATTCTCATCAGCGTTTTCCGCTTTTGATTATAACTATCGGTAGCTCTCGATTACTCTTGGGGAAAAAACTAGGCAGATCATATTAAAATGTCCTAGCTAATATAGTGACAGAAACGGCTTACGGCTCCTTCTTGGTGTAAAAGACACAGGACACGTCACAATAGAACACCGCCTCACAAGGCTATTTTTTCATTTTATTCCTCGTTGTATTATCTTTTTGATCTCTCTTGTTTTACGTCAACTGTGTCTTCTACACCAAGTGAGAGCCCGGCTTACGGTATACTTTCCAAAACAAACACAAATGCTGCAAAACCCTGGCTTTAAATTTCAACGTTTAAGGTGATGAACATCGAAATTCCCCTTACACTATCACATAGAATCAAGCAGGTAAGCCAGGAGAATAAAGGAAATCATCAGCTAGGAACACAAGAGATCTACCTATCTCGGAGTACATCTTTCTCAAATCGTGCAGGACACAGTCTAAATACAGCTCTCCTGTACCCAGGATCACGTGTTCTCC